TATATTATTAAATATATTATATTATATAGACTTTAAATTGTTGGCTTTTATTCTTTTGAATACTTGTAATAATTTTTAGGATGAATTTGATAGAATCTAATAAATTAAAATTTGGATAGATTATTGGATTGTGTAGATGCCTATATAACTTAAATAATAAATGAAAAAAAGTTATAAATCGGAAATCCATTTACTAATATCGATAATAGAGAATAATAAAGACTTTACGATCAGAGAAAAGTTAGCTTAGAATGAATATAAATTTCCGAGCGATATTATGATGTTTTAGTATTTGAATTTTTAAGCAGGCGTTACCATCACTTGCACACTACACCTGCAATGTCACAATATTGCACGTGCGTTAATCTCTAGTGGCTTTCTTCTAGCGTATAAGCTTCGCGGTTGAATGCTTTAGATGACAGTAATGACGGTCGTGCATGAAATTTTCCGCGGACATGAGAATAGAGTATAGCCTGAGAATAAGCTCATAACGTGTATCGATTATTTCGATTAAAAAGGGAAAATATTCTCTGCGTTTGTATAGGTTCCGGTATACTTAAGTAGATTTACTTATTATTGCACGAAATGATTAAAGAGTTTTGAATATAAAAATTATTTGACAAAAGAACATATCTATACAAAAATGTGAATCTATGTAATTCTATGTACGCACGTATTGATAATGCGATCATGGGCGTCGACTGTAGTATGGTTGATATGAAGTATTCTACACTCGAAATTTGTCCATGTGTGGAATTCCGCATTTGGAAATCCGAAGAATGTATAAATTATTTTTTGACGAAATAATTTATTATTTAATATTTTAATAAAAATGAAAGTTAATTAAACTATATATGAAAAATTGCGTATTTACAACTCGATCGACCTCTTTCATGGTTGCCTCTTTCATGATTACCGACCGGTATTTCACTAATGCCTAGATATAGCTCTTCGATGAAATGAAAGTGACATTGATCGCATTATTACAATATATAAAATTGATTTTGACAGGAACAAATTAAAATTACATATCGAACGATATTTTATAATATAATAGAGGTCAAGAAAATAGAGATCTATAATTTAAAAGATGGTGTTAATTTTTTGAAAAAAGATGTAGCCGTGAGAGAAATTATATCAGAATATACAAAAATGATAAAATTCCTGCTTACAATCCCGGCAACATCCTGCACTGCGGAAAGATCTTTTTTGGTTCTTAAGAGATTAAAAATTTATCTACGTTCTACAATACTTCCAATTTTGTTAAATAATATGGCTGTTCTACATATTTATTCAGATGTAAAAAATTTTAATTTAGAAGCTATAATATTGAGTTGTCCGAAAAGTTCGTGCCGATTTTGAAAGAAAATTGAAACGCAGAAGATTTAAATTTTAGTATACATTTATTAAATTTAAATCTTTTGCGGCACGAACTTTCCGGACAACCCAATATAATTTATAAGCAGGAACAAAATC